ATGTCTCCCAGAGAATCACAGAGAGAGAGGTGTCTTCTGCCTCCTGGGAGGAAGTAGCGGATTTCCCAGAATTCTCAGGAGGCCATGCCCACACAGAAGTCTCATTGGCTCTCTCCAGACTGACAGCCTAGACTCCACTCCTACACTCTTAATCCTTAAATTGTCACCAGATTAGGTGACTACCACAGACCACCCCTTGTCAGTTTAACACTTTCACATAACTCTTTAGCCATATATAATTTTCAAGGAATAATAAAATCATATCTGTACGAAAAACATGCAATGACACCGAATGCAGAAGATGACAGGCCAATGGGTAGAAATTCTTTGGATCCAGTGACATTGGAGACATCTCAGTGCTGGCAGGGGTCTCTCTGTGGCCTCTCTGGCTTCTGAGATCTCCATAAAATTATTTTCATTGTTACTTCATCACTGTCATTTTGCTACTGTTATGAATTGTCATGTAAATATATGCAGGATGTATTTTCATTGTTACAAATTGAAGATAAAGCATATTGACTAATCACAAAAACAATGTGTAATTATATACTGTGATATATTTATTTCTGATGACAAATAAATGAAATTTTGTCTTGACGCATGGTGTAGCATGGGTAACAGTCTTCACGCCTGGTACTCACATGTGGGCGGACCCGCCTGGAGATGCTAGAGGAGCGGTGTCTCAGGTGTTTTCCGATGGTCTTAGGGACCCCTGTGAAAGGGTTGTTCGACCCCCAAAGGGGTCGCGACCCACAGGTTGAGAACCACTGCCCTATGGCGTTGGGAGTTAGGATCCACACCAGAGTGACCAGACAGTTCTTTATGGAAACACATCGTCAGGCCTTCCTTTCACGGTGTGGCCGAATGGGTTCTGGAATCATCGACCTTGTAGGTTAGTGTAGTTCAAAATGCTGGTGGCACTTGTGGAGCATCCCCAGGCCCCATTCGGGGTTCGCCGGACGTCCCCAGCCCTCAGGTCCGTCAAACTCGGGAGCACAGAGGGGAAGTGGGTCACGGCTCCAGGCCCAGAGGTTGTGGGGTCATGCCCTGCCGCAGGCACAGAATCGGACCAGGTGGCACCTTGCCCAGGAAGATTAGGGCCCCGTCACCCTGCGAGGCCACGCGTCCGTTGCTGCACCCAAGCTGGAGCAGCGCGTGTCCATGCCCACATCCGTGTCACGAGGAGCGTGTCCATGCCCACATCCGTGCCACATCCTCGCTGGCGTCCGGGTCAGCGAGGGCGTGCACGTCGGGCGCGGACTTGCTAACCCGCGACTCGGCGCCCCCGGCGGCGGGGCGGGGCCAGGTGCGCGGGGCGGGGCCAACGCGGAGGCCACGCCCACACCTTGGGACAGACGCGGAAGCGGCGGCGGCGGCGCCCCTGGGGGAAGATGGCGCCCTCGGGGCTCAAGGCGGTGGTGGGGGAAAGTGAGTGCTCGCCCAGCGCTTGGGCCTCTGGGGATCCGGGGCTGGGGATGCACGGGGCCCCGGCGGCCGGCAGTCAGGGCCGCGCTGGACCCGTGAAGGCCGGGATCCTCGAGGGGGCGGGTCCGGGTTTGGTCTCAGCTGGCCCGCCGGGCTTCTCGGGGGCCCGGGCAGAGTTGGGAACTGGACGTAGGGGAACCCAAAGGGCGGGTTGGGGATAGTGTTGTCCCCTCCGTGGTTCCAGCGGCGGGCTCTGGGGTCTGGACGCCGGGACCCCAAGGGTGCCCAGCCTCCAGGGTTGTGGACTGGGCAAATTTCCCGGGGGCGAGCTGGACTCCTAGGGCCCCACGGGGCAGACTGGATGCGTTGGTCAGCGGTCAGGTGATGTGAGCCCTCGGGATTCCAGGGGGCGTGTCCAGGCCCCAAGGGGCGGAGCGTGTGTTTGCCTTTTTCCCAGGCCCCTTGGAGTCCCTTGCAGCCCCGAGGCCGGGGCGTCGCCCCGGGGTCTCACAGGCTCCAGTTCTGAGGCCAGAGGGTGGAGGTCACCCCTCCCCCACCCCGGGGAGTTCCGGCTTCAGCGCCTCCTTCCGCTCTGGCTGGTTCTGATAACTGGGTATGACACTGGCCGAGGGGGCCACCCCGTTTCTTTTCCTGCCCATCCGCTGGACAGGGTAGTGTGCACCTCAATGTCGCAGCCCCACAACTAGAAAAGCAGCCCCCAGCCAGAAACCGAAGGGGAGAGCCGGCAAGCACTGAGACTTTGTGCAGATGAGGAAACTGAGTCTGGTGGTTAGCTGAAGGGATGACCACTGGCAGGCCGGCCTCAGCAAGGGTCCTGCTGTGTGTGTGTGTGTGTGTGTGTGTGTGTGTGCATGTACACCCAGCCAGGCCTTTGTCTGGCTTTGTACCCACTCATAAGAAGTGTGTACCTCTCTCTAAGGCCACTCTGCCCTGGGCACTCTGCCACAGGTGCTGAGGGGCCCTGGGTAAGTTGCATGCCCTCCTTCAACCTCAGTTTCCTCATTTGTAATTGAGACACTAGTAGCTTCTAGCAGCCTGGGATTGGTGGAGGAGTCTACCGGAGTTTGGTGGGGGTCCAGCCCCAAGACTGGGGGCAGGGCAGAAGAGAGGGTCAACACCCTGAGCCCACCTCCCCCTTCCTTGCAGAAATTCTGAGTGGAGTCATTCGCAGCGTCAAAAAGGATGGCGAGTGGAAGGTAGGTCAAAGCCAACCGCCAAGGACCTGGTCCTAACCCATGGGCGGGACCCTGCCCAAACCCATTTGAGATTGGCCCTGAGTCCAATCACTGCACCCTGCCTTCGAAGCTGTCTGCTCCATCCATGGCTCCTGATTCACAGGGGGTAGGGGTGGGGACTGCTGAGGCCTCTTCTGTCCAAGCGCATCCATCTGTCCGTCCATCTACCTGGACAGGTGCTCATCATGGACCACCCCAGCATGCGCATCTTGTCATCCTGCTGCAAAATGTCAGACATCTTGGCTGAGGGCATCACTAGTGAGTGGACACCCTACTCCCCACCTGCCCAGATGTGGGAACCCTGGGGTATCCCCAAATGGTCTGAGACTCTCAAGTACACAGGCTCCTGGACATGTAGCCTCTAGCCTGAGACCCTCCTCAGCATGCTCCCCAAGGTGTAGCATGAGGGTGGGACCCCCCAGGGACCACCCACACTGGGCTTTCGGCTGTCCCGTGTGTGTGGAGCCCCATAGAAGCCCATAAAGGACTCAAGGGATTTTCCCCCCATCCAAGGTGTAAAACCTTGCCCACCACATGGCACATAGCTGTGTGACCCAGGGGTGTACACTTCCTGCTTAGGACCCGCAGCAAGCACCACACCTCAGACATCTGACCGTGGCCTCCAAGTGTCCCAACTCCCAACGCCTATAGTGCCACATGTCCCCTGCCCTGACCCTGCACCGTCCCCCTGGCCTCCCTTTCTCCGCTCTGTCCAGTTGTTGAAGATATCACCAAACGGCGAGAGCCCATACCCAGCCTGGAGGCCATCTATCTGCTGAGCCCCACAGAGAAGGTGCTCGCCCGAGGGGGTCCCGGGGGTCTGTGTGTGTGTGTGTGTGCCGGGATGTGCATACCTGGGGGGGCATATAGTGTGCACCAATACCTGTGTGTGCCTTTGCATGAATGTGAATACTTATGCATGTAGGTATGCATACATGTGTGTGCGCGCCCGGGAGTGTGTATGCATATGTGCAAGGCACCTGTGTGTGTGCTTATGCGTGTATATGTACATAGGGCTATGCGCACATGTATGTATGCACATGTGCACAAGTACCTGTATGTATGCTTGTGCGTGCACGCACCTAGGAGTGTGTGTATGCATATGTGCAGGGCACCTGTATGTGTGCTTATGCATGTATGTGTACATAGGGCTGTGCACACATACATGTGCACAAGTACCTGTATGTATGCCTGTGTGTGCACGCACCTAGGAGTGTGTGTATGCATATGTGCAGGGCACCTGTATGTGTGCTTATGCATGTATGTGTACATAGGGCTGTGCACACATACATGTGCACAAGTACCTGTATGTATGCCTGTGTGTGCACGCACCTAGGAGTGTGTGTATGCATGTGTATACCGCTGATACCTGCATGTGTACTTATGCTGAGTGCGTACATAATGTGTATAGAGGTGTACACATACCTGGGAGCATGCACCTGCGTAAGCGCCTTTGTACCTGTGAGTGCAAGTGAGGATGGACGGGCAGCAGTCAGGGCCAGAGCCCAGGGTGAGTCTGGGGGGCCAAGGCCAGCTCTGGAAAGTACTCGCTTCCCCCAGTCAGTGCAGGCCCTGATCGCAGACTTCCGGGGCACCCCGACCTTCACTTACAAAGCAGCGCACGTCTTCTTCACTGACAGTAAGTGGGGAGGGCCTGGGCCTGGGCTCAGTCAGGGCCATGGCTGGGGGTGGGCTGTTCTGGCCTGACACCCCTGTCCCCCGCAGCCTGCCCCGAGCCCCTGTTCAGTGAGCTGGGCCGCTCTCGGCTGGCAAAGGCAGTGAAGACGCTGAAGGAGATCCACCTGGCTTTCCTACCCTACGAGGCCCAGGTATGGCCAGGTGGGCTCCCTCAGAGACACACTGAGGCAAAGGGAAGCATGTTGTGGGGAGGGAGGAGGGCAGGAGCATTTGCCTGCAGAGGTCGGGGAGTTGGGAGGGCCTGAGCAGGCTCCCAGGAACGCTCCAGGGAGAGGCTGAGCTTACCTGGCGGTCCCGCCCCCAGGTGTTCTCCTTGGACGCACCCCACAGCACCTACAACCTGTACTGCCCGTTCCGGGCAAGTGAGCGGGCAAGGCAGCTCGAGGCGCTGGCCCAGCAGATCGCCACCCTATGCGCCACACTGCAGGAGTACCCAGCCATCCGCTATCGCAAGTGGGGATCACACCCCAAGGCTGTCCCCCACCCTAACCCCATCTCTTCTGACCCTATGCCCTAGTTTGGCTGTTGGCCCCATCTGAATTCCCTTCTTGACTCCTGTCTGTGCCCGACTCTCCACCCCACGCCCTGATGTCCCCGTGTCCCCCCAGGGGCCCAGAGGACACAGCCCAGCTGGCCCACACTGTCCTGGCCAAGCTGAACGCCTTCAAGGCTGACACGCCCAGCCTGGGCGAGGTGAGGGGGAATGCTGGGGAGGGCCAAGGATCCCCAGGCCACAGAGTCCTCACCCTTGCCATCTGCTCCCCCGCCCCAGGGTCAGGCTCTGTGTCCCCTCTCCCCCCAGGGCCCCGAGAAGATGCGCTCGCAGCTGCTGATCGTGGACCGGGCTGCCGACCCTGTGTCCCCTCTACTGCACGAGCTCACCTTCCAGGCCATGGCCTACGACCTGTTGGACATCCAGCAGGACACGTACAGGTGGGCCTGCCAGAGCACAGGCGCCTCACTCTGCCTGCCTGGAACCTGGCCCTCAGCTGGGCCCTGACCACGCCCCCTCATGACCCCGTCCCCTCCCAGGTACGAGACCACGGGCCTGAGCGAATCTCGTGAGAAGGCGGTGCTGCTGGACGAGGACGACGACTTGTGGGTGGAGCTGCGGCACATGCACATTGCCGATGTGTCCAAGTGCGTCCCCGCCCAGCCCCGCGCAGCCCTTCCTCCCCAGCGCACTTGGTCCCCTGACCCCTGGGTGCTCCCAGGCCCTGGGCCCTCGGGACAGCCTCTCCACGTGCTGCTTGTGCCCTTCCCTGGCCAACCCTGCTGCCTCAGCGGTTCGACCTCCCAGCCCCAAATTGAGATCATTCCCAAGTTCACCCCATCCACCTGCCCCATCGTCCCACCAGGAAGGTCACGGAGCTTCTGAAAACCTTCTGTGAGAGCAAGAGGCTGACCACCGACAAGGTAGGGGGCGGTCCGGAGGTGCTTCCCAGTGGGGCCGCGTGTGGGTGGGGTCTAGTCTGACACCCCTCCCTCCAACTCCGCCCCCAGGCCAACATCAAAGACCTGTCCCACATTCTGAAAAAGATGCCCCAGTACCAGAAGGAGCTGAACAAGGTGAGTGCCCTGGTGGGGGGCGGGCAGGGGCTGGCGCACCCTTGCACCCCCTCCCCCCACTGTCTTGGCACAGCCCGTTGCCACAGCGCCCACCTTCACCCCGCAGTATTCCACGCACCTGCATTTAGCCGATGACTGCATGAAACACTTCAAGGGGTCGGTGGAGAAGCTGTGCAGTGTGGAGCAGGTGGGGGCGGGGCCCAGGAGGGGCGGGGCCATGAGAGGGCTGAGTCAAGGTTGAGAGGAACCTGTCCGGGACCAGGATGGATGGAGTGGGGTCTGTTGTAGAAGGGTGATGCCCGGGAGGCGTGGTTGTGGACAGGCAGGGCCAGGCTAAGGCGGCTCCCTGGGCCCCATCACCCCCATGGCTGCTGTGGTGCCCGGCTGTGCAGGACTTGGCCTTGGGCTCGGACGCCGAGGGCGAGAAGATCAAGGACGCCATGAAACTGATCGTGCCAGTGCTGCTGGACGCGGCGGTGCCAGCCTACGACAAGATCCGCGTTCTGCTGCTTTACATCCTGCTGCGGAATGGTGGGCGGGCCAGAGGGCAGGCGGCCGGGTGGGTCTTCTGGGAGCCCTCAGTCCCCCAGTCCCCCTGTCCTTGGTACACCCCGCTTTCTAGGAACCCTAGAGCCCACTGACTACACTCTGGACCATGGGACCCCCATGGGCATGATATTCCCCTTCCCCCCCCACACACACACCTGTGACTCCTCACCATTTGGTCCCCCAACGAGTTTCGAAGACCTTCCGGTCCTCCCGCTCAGGGCTCCTGCTGCGGAATCCTAACACCAGGGTCCCCCTGCACTGACTCCGGAGCTCCCCTGGTCCTGGGAGCTCTTCTCCCCACCCCAAGCACCCATCACCCATAACCTAGAAACCCAGCAGTTCCCCTGAGCCCCCCCACGTGCCTCCCCAGGTGTGAGCGAGGAGAACCTGGCCAAGCTGATCCAGCATGCCAATGTGCAGACGCACTGTAGCCTCATCCGCAACCTGGAGCAGCTGGGCGGGACCGTCACCAACCCTGGGGTACATACACACGCACGCACGTCGCCCCCGGGGTCCCGGCCTGGTCCTCACTACTGGCGACTCAGCCTCTTGGTCTGCCTATTACCCTCACCCCCCACCCCTCTGCTCTCCCGTGCTGCTCCTCTGCGTAGCTCTTATCCCTACACCCCTGCTGCCTCTCTTGGCCCTCCATCTCCATTCCATGCGCCCTTTCCGGTAGCCTCGGTTCTGTTCCTCCTTTCTCCCGCCCCTTCCTTTCTTGTCTCTTCTCTGGCTGGCTGTCCACCACGCGTGTCCCCACGTAGGCCCCTCTGCCGTCCTCCTTTATCCTTCTATGTGTACACCCACCCCACCCCCCAATTCCTGTCTTTTGCTCTCAATGCTGCACTAGACGTTTTCACTCGGGTCTTTCTCCCCCCTCCCCACCCCCACACTCCCTCTCTTCCATTTCCCCGTCTCTGTCCTCACCACCCCCAAGCAGATGAGGCCCTGCCCTACCCCCCTCACCCTCCTTATCCCCGTCCCCCGACTCCCCACCCCACCCCCAGGGCACGAGCCACTCCAGCCGGCTGGAGCGCCGGGAGCGCCTGGAGCCCACCTACCAACTGTCCCGATGGACTCCGGCCATCAAGGATGTGATGGAGGTATGGCTGGTAGGGGCACAGGACGGGGCAGAGGATCCCCCCACCCCCCACTCCCTTCCCGCTGAGCTTTGAGGCTTGGTAGAAAAATCCCTCCTTACCCCAGTTGGTGTGCGACCTCTCTGATCCTGCCAGGTCTCTCCTGGCCCCTACCCATCCGGGGAGCCTGGACCCCTGGCAGCTTACACCGGGGATCCAGTAACCATTGACCCCTTGTTCTATCAGACCAGATTCCTTAAGGGTTGGACTCTTGGACTCCTGGGTCCCTGAGGTAGGGGGTGGTAACTTCTGAGACAGGCGATGGTGACTCCTGGGTCCCTGAGGAACTGGAGCAGAAGAATCGTCCCTGGGTCCTCATGGGACTGGGCGAGACCATCAGTTACACTCTTAACTACTGACCAAAAGATGGGAGGTTCAGATCCATCCACAGGTGCCTTGGAAGAAAGGCCTGGTCACAGGCCTAGCCCTATGGAGCACATCCCCCTGAGGCCACCTGGAGTCAGAAGTGACAGGCTCACAAGTGGTTAAGGAGCTGGGGGCCAGAGTGTAATGTCAGTGGGGCCAGCGGCCTGAGGTCTTGGCCCTAAAGCACATGCAGGAGACTGTCACCTCTGCCCCCTTTCTCCCAACCTTCCTCTCGGGCCACCCAGGACGCCGTGGAGGACCGGCTGGACCGGAAGCTGTGGCCCTTTGTGTCTGACCCTGCCCCCATGTCCAGCTCCCAGGCTGCGGTCAGGTGAGGGCTTGGGGCCACTGGAGGTGCCTGCCCCAGCTGGCTTCCACTCCCCATAAGAGTGGTGGGAGGGGGGGTGTCTCCTGCAGGGCTGACCTGCTCCACCCCCCTGCAGTGCCCGCTTCGGCCACTGGCACAAGAACAAGGCAGGCGTGGAGGCGAGGGCGGGGCCGAGGCTTATTGTGTACTTCCTGGGTGGCGTGGCCATGTCGGAGATGAGGGCCGCCTACGAGGTGACCAGAGCCACCGAGGGCAAGTGGGAGGTGCTCATAGGTAAGGCTGGCACTGAGGTAGGCAGACCTGAGGTCCATTCCTGGGGGGCCTGGGACCTGGGCCCCATAGAGGGGGTGCTGGACTCTCACTCCTGGGGGGTGGGGACCCTGGAAAGAGTGCTGGACTCTCCCATTACTGGGTCCTGGGAGGGGGGCTGGACTCTAGGTTCTTTAGGAGGTGAGGCTGACTGCTCACTCTGGCCCCCACAGGCCTGCAGTCTGCAACCCCTGTTGCTCAGATACCTTGATGGGGGAGTGGGAGAGCTAGTGATGGGTGGGGAGGGACAAGTAGGCTTGTAAATCTTCAGGGGAGGGGGCTAGGGACTGAATGCCTGAGCCTCTGAGGGGTTGGGGTCTGGCATCCCAGGGCAGGGGTCACTGGAGCTGTACTTCTACATTGCTCGACTCCTAGACTCCTGGGACCTTAGGATCAGGGGCCCAGGCAGCACCCCCCTCCCCGCCATGCCCCAGCTTCTCCTCTTGTCCAGGTTCCTCACACATCCTCACCCCTACCCGCTTCCTGGATGACCTCAAGACTCTGGACCAGAAGCTGGAGGACATCCCCCTGCCCTGACCCTCCTGCTCCCCACCCCGCCCTCTCCAGATAAATAAACTCTACCCTCCAGCCCACCTGCTTTCTTTCTGGAACCCCCCTCCCCCCACCCCCAGCTGTGGGCAGGCTGCCTCCCAGGGTCTCATTCAAGACCTGTCCCTCAAGCCCACCCCACCCTGCAGCCGGCCCCCATTGAGATCCCTGCCTGGGCCTCCTGGTGGTCTGAGTGCAGCAATCAAGGAGAGCTTGGGCTCAGGTCTGAATAGTTGCACCTAGCTTGATTGCTTTGGGGGGTGCCTGAGTCTGATGCAGCTGCTTTGCAGAAGGGATGCTGATGCACACCCCACCCCCACCCCCTATACACACACACACCCTGCCAGGAACTCTCCAGACAGGGTTTCCAGACGTGGCAGCCAGGGCTTGTCTCCAGCTCCTGGGGATCTGGGTCAGCATGTGTGAGGCCAGAAGGCTTAACCCGCTGCATCATCAGGGCCCCTTGTATCAGAGCCTCTTCAGGGCTGAAATGAGGCATGGAACTCCCAGAAACAGAAGACCCAGAGGCCTCTTCTGGGGCAGGGAGGGGGAAGGGACACCCACTCACAGCCAAGTTGATACCCCACAAGACACCAGCCAGACTGGGGGTGGTCCGGGGAGGCTTCCTGGAGGAGGAGGTAATGGCTGAGTTGAGGATGAAGATGAGTCAACTGGGGAACAGGTGGGAGGGAGGGCACAGGGAGCTGGAGGTGGGTGGAGAGTACTGGTGGGTGGGCTGGCGAGATCTGGGAGCGGAGGTTGATTTGGGGCCCATGCGAGGGTGACAGCTTTGAACCCTGCTGGCACTGTGGCTAGGCATTAGGCTGTTAACCATAAGGTTGGAAGTTCAAACCTACCTACCACACTTTGGAAGAAGGATAAGGCTTTTTACTCCCATAAAAAGACATGGTCTCAGAAAAGCCCAGGGGCTGGTGTACCCTGCCCTATAGAGCCCCTGTTAGTGGGAACAGAGTAAGGCAGGGTGCCAGAGATCCCCGGATGCCGCAAGTGGTTTGCACTCTACCACTGACGAAAAGGTCGGCAGTTTGAATTCACCCTGCAACGCAGCGGAAGGAATGCCTGGCGATCTGCCTCCCTAAAGAGGACAGCCCAGCACACCCTATGAAACCCAGTTTTGGACTCCACACCTGGGCTCGTGCTTCGGGGGACAGTGCGCAGGGGAAACCCAAGCAGGAGGGTTTTGAACCAAGGCCAGAAGGCGTGAGCGACCTCTTAGCATCGCCCGTCTAATAACGGCACCGGTCCGAGGGCGAAAGATGTAGCAGCCAGCTACCGTGACGACTCGCACCCGGGGAATCCGCGGGGCAGTTCTACTCTGCGCTGGGAGGGTCACGGCGAGCGCGAATCCACACGGGCAATGGGCGTGGCCTTAACGGGTGCCGGGCACAGCGCCCCCTGGCGGAGCCCTGCTTATTCCCCTGTCGCCTCTGGCCTGCGACCCGGGTGCGGGGGCGATCCGGCATCATCCCACGCCCCCGGAGGGCTTGGCCCCGATTCTGAGCTTGGAACCTTTCCAAGAGCGCAGGAAATTAAAACCCACGGCTCGTGCTCCCAGGAACGATGCTCACAGTGTGGGCGTGGCGGGCACACGCTGGATGCGCGCAGGGGACCAGGCCCCGCCTTGGCAGGAAGCCGGTTCAACGGAGTCAGCGGGAGGGCGAGGGTTTGGGTTTTGTCAGTTGCTTGGTTTTCCCCTTGACCTTGGCGGGGGGTGGGGTGGGTGTTGTTTGCTTGCTTCTCCCTTCAAGTTTAAAGTCTGACGGCATCCTACTCGGGAAACGGCTTCCCTGAGGGAGCCGCCGGTGCAGGGGAGGATGGCGGGCACCAGGGGGCGCTGCGGTCCCACGTTCCGACGTCTGGAACCGGGTGCGTGTCCTTGGAGACCAGGAAAGTGGCCCAGGGATGTTCCTTAGCCCTCTGCAGCGACGAAGCTGCTGCTTCACCCCCCGCGGCCGTTGCTCTGTATTGATTTATGCCTAGGTGATGTGGTGTCGGTGCACACGGACCTGCATCATTGCCACATCCCAGTGGGTGCCCCTGACCCCGGCCTGGTATTTTCCATCGCCTCCTATGCAGGTGAGAGCTGGCCGTCGGAGAAGGAAGACCTAAGAAGAATCCATGCATTTGAACTACGGTGCTGGTGACGATTGAAAGCTCCGTGGACTGCCAAGAGGACAAACAGTCAGGATGCACCTGAGAAGCAAGGATGGCGAGACTTTGTCGTGCCTACTTTGGACATGTTGTCAGGAGAGACCAGTCCCTGGAGAAGGGCCTCATGCGGGGTCAAGCACAGGGGCAGCGGAAAAGAGGAAGACCCTTGGAAGAGATCAGTTGACCGTGGCTGCAATGATGGGCTCAAAATGACTTTAAGGATTGTTGCAGTGTAGCTGTGAACTAGACCCGACTCCATGGGTACCAGGCCTCACATGTGCAAAAACTGGAATGAAAAGATCATGAAACTCTTCCCACAAACTCCTTGAAGGCCCACCCCCCCACCCATGATTCACTGCTATGGAGTCCATTAGAGCTGCAAGTCTCCTCATGCTCCCTTGGAACGGCTGATGGTTTCGAACTGCTGACCTTGTGTTTAGCAGCTCCATGTGTAACCCACGGTGCCACCATGACGTCTAGGTTGGTGCAGAGTTAGAGAATGGAAAGCACTTGAAGGTGGGTCATGGTGGGGGTCACAGGATCCAAGTCACCGCATGTATGCACTTAAAATGACGAGGGCAGCACACACTTGCATATATGTGTAAACATTTAATATAACACATATATTACTATGACATAATGTATAGTAAAACAAGTTTATTTAAACAAGATGCTCGACTTGAAGGGACAAACATCTAAGCTTTATATCTTTTTTTAAAAAATCATTTTATCTGGGGGTTATACAACTCATATCACAATCCATATATATATATCCATTGTGTCAAGCACATTTGTACATTTTCAAAACATTTGCTTTCTGCTTGAGCCCTTGGTATCAGCTCCTCATTTTACCCCCTTCCTCTCTGCTCCCCCTCCCTCATGAGCCCTTGATAATTTATGTTATTATTATTTTGTCATCTCTTATACTGTACAACGTCCCCCTTCACCCACTTTTCTGTTGTCCAAGCTTTATATCTGAGAGTCATTAACCCTGACTGAAAGACAGGTTGCGTTCCAGGTAACAGCTCCGTACCAAAACGTGATCACACTGTCCTCAGGTTTTCAGCGATCAGTGAGAGACATGACAACTCTCCGGTTGAACCAGGAAGGCATGCAAGGATTTCTTTTTCATTTTACATTTGTTGTTGTTGCGCAGGGACAGCAACCTGGCTCAGGGACATCTGCAGAGCTGAGCGAGCACACCGCCCCCGGAGGCGAAGGGGCCACGTCCACAGAACCAGTGTTGCCCCTCCCGGCTCCTCTGGATGCCGATCAAAACAGACCACTGGCCTTTTTGCAGAAAGAGGACAACCAAGGGACCCACTGCAGTATGCTTGTGCCCACTAGCTGGTGTACAGTGGAGGACCGGGGAAGGGGAACTGGCAGAGTAGCGAGCAGGACACTGTGTGGCGCAGGGTGTGGAAGCACGTTGGGGGTTTCAACCTGGGGATGGATTCTCGGTGGGTAGGAACAGAGTTCTGGGGGAAAGGAGCAGGCTCCCACCTGCCGTGTCTTCCTCCTCCATTTGCCACCTGCAGGCATGTCTGCTTCATTGCCTGGCCGGCGGCCCATCCACTCGGCAGGCATCGGCTCTGCCTCATTGACAAACCCTGTCGTTCACAATAGGCATTCCGTCATTCCTGAGTGGCGCGTGCCACTGAATCTCAAAGTGCACCCCTGCATCATTCTTCCGTGCCACCTGAATATGGTAAATACGATCCTTGTTCTCAGTCTGGACACCTTGCTGGGTTTCTCCTCAGCTGCAGTCTCCTCAGCTGCCACTTCACAAAAGAGGTACCAGGTACACCCTGAACGAGCCTATATGTGTGTGTTCAAAAATGGGTTTATTAGAATGGCTCCCCATTCAGCTCCATTCAGGGTCTATTAGTGCTGCTTCCGTCTGAAGGAGCATCCTTCTGTGAGCCTTGCTTTTCCTCCTCTAGGCTGACAGAGGACAGTCGAACAGCTGTTTGTGCCTGGCTACAGACCGTGGTGATGTTATAGCAGCCTGGGCATTTGACATCCACGAAGCAGCAATGGGGGGGTCTGCGCCAGGTGCTGCCTCTTGTGTATCTCTTCTCCTCTTTGGGAGCGGGATGAAGGAAATCCTTTGCGAGGCATGATGGCTGGGGAGGTCGTCAGCACCAGAACCCT